AAAAGGAACAAATGATATTTTTGCAGGCTACAGACTACACAGCTCTACCATGGGACAGTTTGACTGCTCAACCTTGTGCTATCTCACCATAATATGCTCTTCTGTACACTGGCAGCACTAATATTATATTTGTAACTGTCCCAAAGCCATGAACACACACTCAACAGTTTTTATACTTTTATCATAGGCATATTAGAGTGGCTGGTTTAATTAGATGTGACAGTGATGTGCCCACCTTTACTGCCCATATCAACAGCTTGTTTCATTTACTTTGAAAATGAATCGACAAAACAAACTTTCCAAACAAGAATACATAAATACCAGTTAGTGCCTTTTAGCTGAAGGCTAAATATGATTGTTTTAATGGAGGACAAACTGCATCACTTGTTTAAAATCCTTTAGATAAAATGTTAATTATGACCACATAATTCAAATAAACTAAATTCAAACATACACATTTTGGTGGGGAGGAGAGTTTTTGTGAAAGAAAACCCAAATATGCTGAAACAGAAAATCTGCACCGTCTTTTTTTCTCCTTGAATAAAAGTGAAATCCTTGAAACTGAAGCTTGAATCTATCATTCTGTTAATGAGTCTTCTGTAACCACAGATGCAAACCTTCAATCAAAACAGCTTGTACAGAATTCTGCCATAAAAGATAATGGAATTAATTTGATTCATTGGAATACTGAGAGCCACACATTTCTGCTTTATAGTAAATGTTGTCATTCAGAAATAACAGTATCACCAGCTGTAGAAATTTCCCCATCAAATTCTCCTATATAGCATAAGTTTACTTTTCAGTGGACTGTGCTTTGAATAAATAGCCATGACTAGGGCAGTCAGGTGTCCTTTATTATAAGGAAGATCCCTTATTTGGGGCCAGAAAGTTTGTCTCTTATTAGACTAGCAGGTGTCCCATATTAGAAGGGATATCCACATTTGCAGCATGGAAAGCTTTTACTTTTATATAGACTGAATAATATGACCCGCAAATCCCTTATTTTGGGTTGTGGGCACTGCATAAAGACAGAAATGTGTGCATTGTGTAATTTACAAATGTAGACAGTATGTTACAGGGAAAAACATGATTAAGTTAAATGAAATCAATACTTTCACTTAAGTAGAACACAAACTTGCTAATAATTATTTCTTGATTGTCGATCCTGCATGTCATGAACTTTGACTGCCCCTTATTTTGAAAACCTGGCAACACTCACTTATAGCAGAGGTGAGTGACTGAGGTCTTCTAGGTATTGCTGGACTGCAAGTCCATAAGCCATAGCCAGCCCTGCCAAAGGTAAGGGACCCAAAGCCCTTCTTTTCCCAAAGGAACAATTAATCCTGTAGAGAGAATAGTGAGAATAGTTGGCTCCTTTCCCTGCAGGTGTCCCTGGGCACCTCATTCTGACCTCAGAGCGACTTGCACCTACAGTGGCAGAACTGGCCATCTCTTAGTGACTGCATGGGAAGGCAGCCACCCATCATCTGCCAAGAGCTCACAGCAAGGAGGAGGAATCCAGGGGGGATTTGGGGCCAGAATACTCTGGGGACAGCCCATAGTATTCTAGCAAACGTAGAAAACCTATACAGTATCTTCCCCCTTGGTATATTGTCATCTTGTAAAATCATTATACATCAACAGACTTTTTGTGGTTGACATTTGCCTTGTCTTAGATAGTTAAATTACTGTCATGACTTTTGTTTGCTGTGGTGATTCTGATGTATTTTAAATGTGTTTTGTTTTTGCCTTTTAACAATACTGTGAGCCACTTTGGTGGCCTTTGAGTGGAAGAACAGTTTAGAAATGCTGCTTGAGGGGGGAAAGTTAGGGCCTAAGCAGACTGCCAGAAATAGTGCACATTAAAT